ATGTGAGCTTCTTGGATAGAAACCTTAGGGTTTATCTTTCGGACGTTTACAGCTCGTTCTCTCGACATGTATCTCACAAACAGAGAGTTAGAGTTCGAGTTAGAGCTTATCTCATTCTCTAAAACAGCCGCGGCTCTACATAGCTTCCTTAGTCCTCCTCCTCCGGTGAACCACATTTTCTCTTCCTCGCCGTCACTTTCTCAGATTTCGTCTTCCCGGAATGAGTTAGGTCTATCGCCTAGTCTTTGATATTTCCAAAATAAAAGCCCAGTATCATTATTTCGGCCCAATCAATGTTTTTTAAAAAAGAGTGAATTTTGTAGATCACTATAGGGCAGTTTCTATGTTTTAATATCACATTGGGGCAGTTGTTGCTACAAAGGCAGTTTCTGTATGAAATGTCTCAACTTGCCCCTGATAAAGTGTAACCAGTGAGGATAATATTGGTAAGGACATTATTCTTCTTTGGTTACGATTTTGAAACATATAAAATTGGGTGGTGGACCCCGATGGCAGACTAAAGATTATTAAACCCACTTTAATTAATCGGACATATAGAAAAATTAGTTTTACTTTTGAGAACTTTTGGCGAAGAGCTAAAATGAAAAGTTTGAGAGGAACCCAGATCCGAAATAAAATGAGAAGTTTGAGAGGAACCCAGATCCGACGATGATTTCCGGTGAGAGATAGATCGAGACAAGCGGACGGCGATTCTGTGGAAGAGAAAGATGTCGACGAGGCTGAACCGGCACGAGAAAGAGAAAGCGGACGGTAACATTTTAGGTGTTGTTGTTATGTCGATGGATCTACAGTCGAACATGAGATTAACTTTTTTTTTTTCGAATTGTAGACTTAAATTTTCAGCAAACAACTGTGTAAGAAAGCCATGACAACACCCAGATGTTTCCATGTTCTTGGTCTTTGATCACAGATTAGGAGTTGCATCATTATGAGTTAAAATTTTGTGTGCCTTTGTATTTCAGTAAACGTGTACGTCGTTATGTTAAGTGTGTACACGTTTGCGTAATAATTTATTTGTGGTCGAAATATAATTTAGGCGTAGTGATTAAGGTTGGATGCGTGTACAACGGAAAGTTGTACACAAAAACGAAATTTTTGACTATTATGTGTACATGCATTCATATTGAACGGGGCGTGTACATTATATTAGATTTCGATTGGTTGAACATATTTTTTGTCTTTTTTAAACTTTGGCAGTTTGTTTATCTGTTTGTGCAGTTGGTTATCCACGCAATGATGGAGATTAGTGGAGACCATGAACATAGGTGGGATTTGTGGATGAAAAGAATTATGATAAGAAAGTTGAATACATGCTTAGGCTCCTGAAGATCCATGACCATTGTGTTTTTCCCTTGTACATGTGTATATCTTTTATGGTGAGTGAAGTTTATTAGAAGGTATAAGAAACATATGTACAATGTAAGTGTGTGCATTTGCAGTAAACATGATTTTGATGTACATGGTTGGTTCTAAAGACGTGGACACGTGGTGTCCTGTCTACATATGTACAAGTTGCTGCGACGTGATTCCCTCTTGTAGTTATGTACATATTTACGCATTTCTCGTTGTACATGTGTACAACGAAAAGATTCATCATTTTGTTTGTTTCTCTTTATCTCCTTTCGTATCAAAGGTGACAAAAGATTCATGTTTGAAATTGGAATGTACAAATGCAATATGATTATACACATTACATTTGAGAAGTGTAATCGCAACACATTACATTTGAGAAGTGCAAATTGCAAAAATCAGAAAAGATTTCAGAATGAAAATGATAAGAGAGATATTTAGTTGCAGAAATCACTTGTGTACATTGTATATTATTAAAGCAATGTACTGTACACATGTGAAGATGTACATTTTTTTTTTAATCATAATTAGTGTACACATGTGACGAGTGTACATTGTTTTAATAATAAAGAGTGTACACATATGATGATGTACATATGTACACATATAATTGTACACATGTACATATATACTTGTACACATTTTTAAATGAATGGCAATTTTGTAATTAAATCATCTTTTTCTTATTAGGGTGTTCTGTGCTTCTGCAACTAAATCTCAGAGACGCCTTTAATTTTTTTTCATGCAATCTTCATTTTTTTGCGTTTTAAACTTTAGAACTTGTTGTAATTAACCAATTAAAGCTAAAAACAAATGAAAACAAATTTATTCTTAATTATAAAAAACATCTAAGTGACGTTTCTTTTTCTTCTCTTCTTAATTTATTGACGGTGGTTGAACTTTGAGATGACTGAAACCAATCCGGTTGCAGCTTCAAAAACCAGAGAGGATACTGGACGGTTACAACATCTTCACCACCAGGTTGAATATTGGTCAGAACCAGAGGAGAAGATCAGACTCAAGACGTGACTGTCGAGCGAAGGAAAAGTGAAGACTATAGACGAAGCTGGAGACGCAGTGGTAGATGAACCTCTGATTATGGAGTAGATATGAGCCGATGTTTTATTCTTTTTTTTTAACAGAGAGTAAAAAACAAAAAAAAAGAATAGAATAGAAAGAGAAAGAATGAAGAGTTATGGTTAAATAACGAAAAACAAAAATAAATATAATATTTAGTTAGCTTATTTAGTTAGATTATAAGTAGAAAATGGAGTTGGTTAGAAAAAACTACCTTAGTAGAAAGAACTGTCTTTTTCTGATATAAAAACTCAACAACTGCCTTTCAGTGATAATTTTTCTTTGTAGAAACCCAAAACAAAGAGTGAAGTTGGTAGAAATCCAAAACAAAGAGTGAAATTAGGAAAATGTTTTTGATGGGACAGGTTGGTGTCTATGAACAAAGGTATTATTAGAGATGCTAATCATGGATCTGGATCGCGGGCCTATCCCGTAAAGAACTGTCGCGGGACGGTATTGGAATGAGGTTTTCTAAATTCGCAAATTTGCGGACCTTGTGGGATGGGTGTTTGCGGGCTTGGGTCTTTTGTGGGATGGGCCGAAACGAGGCCTGCGGGATTACAAGACCCCGCATTTCTTTATTTTTTGTTTTACCTTAAAAATGAGAGAATGAGTGAGAAGAAGACAATTCATGTGACTTCCTAAAGAAAACGTAAGAAGCTCGGGCGGTAATGATAATTCGAGCTTCGGTGATAATGATTTGAGCTCCGGTGATAATGATTTGAGCTCCGGTGATGACAACGACAGTTTCGGTGATGACGATTCGAGATTTAGTAGTATTTTAATTTGGTTTCTTTTTTTATTTAATTTGGGATTGATATTTTTGATTTGGTATTTAATTTAATTTTTGGATTCAGTAAACTAAAACAGTGGTTATGAACTTATGAGTTATAAGATAATGAAAAATATCTTCTGCAATTATTTTTACTTTGTATGTTAATATGTTTTGGGTGTGATACAAATAATTACAATTATTGTTTTGAATAAAAATAAGCAAAGCAATGATTTATGAATTATTTCCAGTTGAATCGACGACTTGAACTATGTCCTAGAATAGCCTGAAGCGTGTTGGAGTGGCTTAAATCATTCTTCTGCGTGTATTGTCACATGTCCCACGGGACGGCCCGCGAAGACCTACAAAAAATACGGCACAAGATTAGACATCTATTTTCAAAACTGCATCCCACGCGGGACAAGCCTGCCGCGTCCCGCTAGAAGACAAACCCGCAGTGGTCCGGGACGGAACGGGATGGGAGAGCCCAATTGCCATCTCTAGATATCATGGAGAGGGATTTATGATATGTAGTTAGTTATGAAATTTGTGTGTGTATGAAGTGCAAATATTCTAACAGAAAATCCCATTAGTGCAGTCATTTAACATAGAATTCATTAATATTTTTATATTTAGATATCTGAGTTTTGAGTATCGGAGACTGCGATTTCTTAACCATTTATATAAAAGATTAACAGAGGAAATAAACACAAACGAATCTCCTACATAGTGCTAGACAACCAGTCAGGCTGGATCTTCATAGAACAATTCAAAGTGCTGTAATCAAACAAAAATCGTCATATATTAAATAGAATTATCTAGAATTGTTTATGTAATCTTTTCATAATTATGATAACATAATAAATCAGCATAAAAACCGTGAAAAAATCTCATTAATCTGGTGCATCATACTATAAATGAAGATTTGCTTAATGCATATACACCCGAACGATGTGAATTACGAGTAGTAACATGAACGTATATGGTAAAAACCATGTTATGAACGGAATCCATAACAAGCGTTAAAAATATGAAAGTGAATAATATTTACAGAAAATTGCAGGATAGGATTACACTAATTGAATCATATTTGCCTCTATGTTATAACTTCTAACAATATATCTTCTGGTAAGAAAAAAATATCTAGTTAAGAGGAATATGATATTTTAGTTTTTCTTCTTTCAGTTTACCGGATCAATATTATACTATTCAATTAAAGAAACATAAACATATTATCTTTGTCATATAAAATCAGTAAGATCTGCTGACAAAAAAAAATTAGTAAGATCAGTATACGGCTATGACCTTTAATATTCAATAAGATACCAAATTCATATTTTTGGCCAGATGTAAACTTCATAGAAAACAACCTAATCAAGCGGTATAAAATATTTTTTATACTGATTCAAAATTATATACTCTTTTATATTTTCAGCATATTTTACCATTTATTTTTGAAAAAAAACTTGCTAAATATTTTGTTACTATGGTAATAATATTTAGTTTGTGTATGAAATATTGTATTTAAGAAGTTCAACCATTTTCCAAAGAATTAAAGTAATATGCATATCATTTCATGTTTATTATTTTAATTTTTTTGAAAAAGGGCATTATTATTTTTATTTATTGTAATACAAACATTATTGAAAAAAGTATTGAACTGAAAATTAAGGTAATACAGATATTATTTTTTTTTATTGAAATACAAATATTACTGAACTGAAAATTATAGGTTTTTATCCCATTGTGTTTTATTTACCCTTGGGTTCCATTCAAGGTTTTAAAACGTCTCAAGTCCAACATATCGTTCAGTGAGACTCCCGAAGTATAGACTACCGTGGAACTCGTTAACTTCGGTAAGAAAATCATAATAAAGAGGCATATAAATTCTCTGAAGCACTTCACCGTTAGAGTCGACTTTGGCGACGGCTGTTTGGTTGGTAACCCTCTGCACGGCAGAGATCCAAAAATTTCCAGTAGAACCAATTCTTCTGATACTGCTAGGGTGTAAATGCGATGGCGAATTGCTGAAGTCTTCAGAAGAACCAGCTTTAGGTCCTTTGATCCAATACCTAATGATGTTATACTTTGTAAACTGACTAACCAACACGAAAGAACCATCCGAGCTTACGGTAACACCAGCTGCGCCGCCTAGACCTTCCATCAATACGGTGACAACCTTAGTTGATGGGTCGTACTTGTAGAGTTTTCCTGTTTCGTCGTCCAGAAACATAACAAGATGCATTTGGCTACATACATAACAAAATTACGTATATTAAGCAACAAATCATGTATCCGGAAAAACAAAAAAAAAATATTTGAGTAAATACTTTTCTTTTACCGAATTTCAGTCATTGTAGGTTTATATTTTGGAATGTTTTTTTTTCTTATGAAGACCGTTTACTATTCAAAAATAGTTTATCAATAATAACGTTGCAATATATTCGGATTTATCCATTTTATTAGAATTGTTTGCTGTAACCGTAAAACTAGTTTATGCAAGAAAAATCCATGTGTCACACTTTTTAATTAAATGATAACCAAAACAATTAGTACATGTATAGAAGGAGAGGAGGAAGAAACTTTACTATGCGGTGAAGCGTGAGCTCAAGGAAGTGAAGTAGACGATACCAGTTGTTGGATCAACGTCAAGACCATTGAGAGACTCAAAGGGATTTCCATCAACACCGTCGGCGATCTTTACGGCCAAACCACCGGCGGGAGAAACAACGTGAAGACCCAACAGAGCATCGGCGACGTAGAGATCACCTGTTACCTCATTGAGGGCTATCCCCGCCGGTCGGCCGCACCTTCTGGAGGAAATCGGTTCTTGTAAACCGTAGCACAATAAAGAGCTCCTGGATTATAATAAGAACAATTAAAACCAATATGTAAGTGGCTGTGCGTTAGACATCATATACAAAATTTATACTGATCAGAGTTGAATATTACATATATATATATATATATATATAGAAATTCTCTCATGTATATTACATGTGAAATTGTACATCGTTTAGTGAAGTCTACGTACCTTTTTATACTATGTTATTATAATCCCTAACAACATAATTCGTCATCGAATAAATAAAATTAAAAGAACTTACGATGATTCTGTGATGTGTGCAAAAACGACAAAACCCTCCTCGGGAGTATACTTGAGGATTGTACCACCGGAGACTCCAGTGTAGAATCCATTTTCTGTGGAATTAAAGGCGAAAGAGTGAGGGCCGGACATAAGTATCGGCAGCGGAAGTGGCTGGAAAGACGCGTCAACTGAGATGACCGCCCATAAAAGAGAAAGAAGGAGAAGAGATATTGTGGACAGAGATGACATCATATCGTTTCTTTAGGTTTTTTTTTTTGTTCTATTGCTCTACAATTATTATTGCATGAGGCTTTGTAATTTGTATGTATGTCTATTTATAGGCTTGAGATTTTTAGCTTCTTTATTCCACATGTTAACATTGACGGCACATGATACATTCTTGTTTATTATTAGTTTTGAAAGTGTAAATGAGTAAAAAAAAAGATAAAGTGCAAAAGTAGTGACACATAAAGTTTGTTAACAAAGTTTCTTTTCTTTCATATTTTGAATTCACTTAAACAATAAAATATACTATAATCAATTTGCATACGCATAATACAAATATAATCCTCTTAATCACTGCTCTGTTCTAAAGTATAAACTCTTTAAGACAACTATTTTGAACTAAATTTTGCCAGAAATTAAACTTTATCAAAATGATCTATTCATCAGCTAAATTTTTACTGAGTTTAGACATCAATCCTCCAAATTTTAAATGTACATTCCTAAGCACTTCACCAAGTACGACAACATTTAACACACACCAATAATACCAACAAAGTAACAAACACATCAACACCAACACACATCAGGCTTGATCACCACAGACAACTCCTCAACACTAACGTCACAATACGCTTGATCAACGTCACATTCCGTTAAACACTACATTCGAAGAGAAAGTTTAACTATAAACTGCACATTTCTTTGAAAAATTAATATGTCTTTAGATCTGGAATACATCCAGATTAATTATTTTTTTTAAAATATAGAACAAGGAGAAATAACAACTTTGACAAGAAAGCTATATAAATTTAATACTTCTTCCGTTTCGAATTAGTTATTATTCTATAAGAAAAATTTTGTTTCAAAATAAATATCGTTTTAGAATTTCGAGACATAATTTATTAGGTTTATATGATACTTTATTTTTCTATTGGTCGAAAAGTGGTTATATGTATTGGTAATTTTGTTTTTATATTGAAAATATGTAAAATTAAATGTTTACTTAATCTGTGTGCAAAAACTAGAATGACAACTAAAATGAAATGAAGAGAATAATTTTTTTTTAGGGATTATAGAAAACTCGACTACCCATGAGAAACTCAAGTTTGGGAGATTGTTATCATCACAGCTAAGCATTCGTTGTTTAGTTGACTTGTATAATTATACATGTACACTTTAACAGTATGTTGTATGTGATAGTACAGTACATGTCTTGTAATATAAAAACTGCCAATATGTTATACTAAACAAATTTTGAAACGGCACATCATCATACTTGCTAACCATGCAACTTTTTTTTTTTTTTTTTGTCAATTTGGTCACTTTAGACCGAAATCCTCAAACTGAGGTAAGGAGTGGTCGAATCCCTAACGTCAGGGCCCGAAGGCAGAGCTCAGTTGCCACTTGGCTACGAACAACCCGACGCTAACCATGCAACTTAAAAACTATTATAAAGATTTGAAGCAAAACAATTGACTAACAATGAAAATATGTGATTACGACAACTAACCATCAAGCCATATCGAAAACAGTCGACTTACAATGAAATATATCTATAGTGTACATATAAAGAGACAGCAAAGCATTTGTCTTTCACATGCTTAATTAGATATAAATCCACGCTTTACGTACGTTATAGACTTATATATATATATATATATATATAAATAAATAGTTTCACGTTTTACACGGACTAAAATTTAAATAAATATATAATATATTTATACATAAATATACAATGCAAGGAACTCACACTTTAGAATAAATAATAAATGAAAATTATCTATATAAATATTTAATATTTATACATAAATATACACTGGAAACTATCTTGTATTTAGTATACAAACAGTAAATGAAAATTATCTAAATAAATAAGCAAATACATTTTAAAATAGTTAAATTAACTTACACAGTTGTTTAATCCAAAAAATCTTCCATATAAATCACTAGAGTTACGCGTAAAAACAATCGCTTGTGATTATCTAATCTGTTAAAACATAGTCCTAATTTTATCTACTTATCAATGTTGTCATTTAAATTTATGACTGATTCATATCTCATTAGAATGCATATCAATACAACTGTATATGAGACTTTTTGAAATCCCCTTAACTTACTTCTAATATACTACAAACGCCACTCCTATTTTTATTAGTAACAAAATTAATTAGTTTCAACCTAATTATTAATTACTATACATTCTTAAATGTTACAAAATTTATTTACATTTAAAATTAGTTATTTCTTTGCATTTAATTGTTTCTTATTAATCTAATATCTTAAACATGCCAAAATCTAATAGTTTTGTTCTATTTAATTGCGGTGCATCAATAACATACGTCAAGATTTTGAATATTACTATGAATTTATGATTGGTAAATTTTAGTCATACAACTATATGATTTTTAATTAACATTTAATATTTTCATAGCTATGGTACTATACAACTATATAATGAGATTGTTGCAAAAGTGACTCAAAACTCCAAATCAAACAAAAAACTAATATTATTTTTCTTTGGATATTTCATTTGCGCAATCCACCCTAAAAGTTCTGATTATTTACAAAAATGCCACTATTTTTATTTAATTTTTTTTTGAAAATGGGTGTTTTACTCTCTCATCCCCATCTTCATCAATTAAACGCAAAAGTGCCACTACCATCAGTTCACCCAACAACCTTGAACAACCAAAATGAAGCTCTTAATACATCTAAAAAACTAAATTTACTCATTCATTCTCATAACTTATGCCCAAAAACTACATCTCCCTCACTTTCTAGCTATATTCATCCAAAAAATCCAAGCTTTTTGATTATAAAGTTTTTGAGGGTCATATAGCCATCCAAACTCACGATTTCTGGTATTAACGATTGAGTAGATATCCTGGTGAAGTTGTGTGTACTTGGAGAACTAAGCAAGTTCTCTGAGGAGTTGAAAATATGAATTGAATTTTTCCCCCAGATTTGTTCTATATCTAGAAGACTTACGAGTAAGTCTTTCTAAGTCTTCGTAAGTCTTTTGGTCAAAGAATATGTTTGTTTTGCAATTGACTTACTATGTTGAGGCATTGTACAATGTACTTGGAGAGGACGAAATAGAAGTGCAGGAATACATTATTAATAAATGGTTGAAGTATTCGAAGAAGATCATGGGTAGCTTAGCTTGTTTTTATCCATAAAAATTATGTATTTTTCATGGATTAAAAATAATCAAAACCTTTATATCAAAACAAACATTTCTATTATTTTCTGCATTGCAGAATACCTAAAATATTGATCGTGAGTCCAAATAAACAATAGTTTTATATTCGTTCACTTTCTGATTTTGTTCACTTCATTTTAAATCTTGGGCTCGATTTGGTTTAGGTTTAGTTCATTTAAGTTATTTTGGTTTTCACATTCTCTTAACTGTAATATCACATCTTCATAAGTTTTTTTTTACAAAAACTATATTATTTTATTTGAACACATAAACACCTATACACAATCACATATAGTTTTGTGTTCAGGACTGAGGAACCTGAAGTGTTTTGGAAGTCGACACAACAAGCATATCAGATTTTCCCCAATAAAGCAGCCTTATTAAGATCGATGAATGAGTTATATGTAGGGATTGGCACGGATCAAATATTAACCTAATTTACAGTATCGGTGATTTGCTTCGTAGTGTACGGAAATCTGATTTTCTGACTAAATTTGCTTCGGAGAAATAAAGATATCCAAATTGTTTTTAGATGTTTTCGAATATATAAGAATATTTTTTGCACTTTTTTTAATACGAATAAATCTATAAAAACAATACAAATTTGTTTTCCAAAACTATCCTTAGATAATACAAAATAAATAAATAAAAAGTTAGTGAAACAACATTTCCATAAGTTTATAAAATTAATCAATGCTTTTCGGATCGAATTGATACGAATAACGAAGCGAATAACATTTAAAGGATAAAATGCCCAGCCCTAATTATATGTTCCAAACTAGTAGGTCTTTCCTGTACTGCTATTCTTAAATGCCATTTTATGAGACTAATATTATCTCAGCTCTCAGCCCTGATTTTAACCTTCTCTGTGAAGCCAATACAAATATAGAATTTCACTTGATTGATAATGAAAAAAAAAGTTTTCAAAGTCAGACTAGTAAAAGCTCCTAAATGAATCTAAACTGATATCTAGTTCAAACCTATGGAACATAAAGTTAATGCAAAAAAAGTTTCAAGCCTTGACAATTTACAGTTTCATCTAATATCTCATATATATATATATATATATATGTTCATGCACTTATTTATCTTATATAACCAAGATATACCAGAAGCAATATTGAAGACCTCCTTGAGAACCATCGTCTTTGTCGTAGTCGTTCTCTCCATTTCTGCTATTTCTTTAGCAGCGCAGAGCCCTTTAGAAACTTGCATAAGAAAAAAAATTGCTAGGTCGCTCTCTCGTCCTTCAAACAAACCCGAAATATCTAATTTTGAGGTGTCCGATGAATTATGCAAAGAAGAGACACGAAACATCATATACTTCTTAAAATTGAAAGGAAAGTTCCCACCATACTACGTTAAGGCGTTGTGCAATGTATTTGGAAGGGATGAAAAGGAAGTGAAGGCATACATTACTTCTAAAGGGTTGAACTATTTGAAGAATCTCCTCAGTAGCTTAACTTGTGTAAAAAGAACCACCTTGGCAATCAAGAATAAGAGCCCTGTGGAAATTTTCATTCGAAGAAACATCGCTCAATCCCTCTCTCCTTCTCCTTCGAACAATCTCATTACATCAAATGATTACAATGTCATGGGAGACCAGTTATGCAGAGATGAGACACGGGCCATTATGTCCTTTTTAAAAGAGAAACACAAGTTCCCAACTTACTATGTTGAGGCATTGTGCAATGTACTTGGAGAGGACGAAATAGAAGTGGAGGAATACATTATTAATAAATGGCTGAAGTATTCGAAGAAGATCATGGGTAGCTTAGCTTGTGTTTCTCCGTAAAAATTATGTATTTTTCATGGATTAAAA